ACTGGGAACCCTTGGGGACATGGATCCAGGTGTCCCCATGTCCCTCCTGGGGTCCCCAGGGTCAGTGGGAACCCTTGGGGACATGGATCCAGATGTCCCCAAGACCCTTTTGTGTCCCCCAGGGACATTTGGAACATTGGGGACATGGATCCAGGTGTCCCCATGCCCCTCAGGGACACTGGGAACCCTTGGGGACATGGATCCAGGTGTCCCCATGTCCCTCCTCTGTCCTGGCAGGACCTTGTCCCCTCTCCACCATCCCCCATCCTGATCCATCCCAGGGGATGTGGATCTGGGATGTCCCCATGTCCCTCCCCTGTCCCATGTCCCCCTGGAACCCCGTGACACGGACACGGGGTGTCCCTGTCCTTCCTGTGTCATGGCCAGGACATGCCATGGGGACGTCCTTGTCCCCTACTGTTGTCCTTTGTCACCAGTCCATCCCAGAGGACATGGACCCAGACTGTCTCCATGTCCCTCCTGTGTCCCCATGTCCCTCCTGTGTCCCCATATCCCCTTGGGGACATAGATCCAGGGTGTCCCCATGTCCCTTGGGACACCAGGGAGTCCTGGGGAACGTGGATCTGGAGTGTCCCCATGTCCCTCCCGTGTCCCCATGTCCCTCAGGGACACTGGGAACCCTTGGGGACATTGACCCTGGTGTCTCCATGTCACTCCTGTGGCCTCCAGGTTCACTGGGAACCCCTGAGGACATGGATCCATGGCGTCCCCATGTCCCTGAGGGACACTGGGAACCCCTGGGGACATGGATCCACGATGTCCCCAAGACCCTCTTGTGTCCCCATGTCCCTCCTGTGTCCCCCAGGGACACCGGGAACCCCTGGGGACATAGAACTGGTGTGTCTGCATGTCCCTCAGGGACACTGGGAGCCCTTGGGGACAGGGACCTTGGGTGTCCCCTTGTCCCTCTTGTGTCCCCATGTCCCTTGGGACACTGGGAACCCTTGGAGACATGGATCCAGATGTCCCCAAAACCCTCGTGTCCCCCAGGGACACTGGGAACATCGGGGACACGGATCCAGGTGTCCCTGTGTCCCTCTTGTGTCCCCATATCCCTCAGGAACACTGGGAGCCCTTGGAGACACGGGTGTGAGGTGTCCCCATGTCCCCCTTAGGGACATGGACCCCAGTTGTCCCCATGTCCCTTAGGGACCCTGGGAGACCTTGGGGACATGGACCCCACTTGTCCCCATGTCCCTCCTGTGTCCCCATTTCCGCCTTAGGGACATGGACCTTGGGTGTCCCCATGTCCCTCTCGTGTCCCCACATCCCGCAGGGACCCTGGGAACACTGGGGACAGGGACCTTGGATGTCCCCATGTCCCCTCGGGGCCGTGGCTCTGGCCTGTCCCTGTCCCGCTTATGTCCCCCGTGGAGGTGACACC